TTTAATAATGATTACAACCACAATAACAACAAATAGTAATAAGGATAGCCACTAAAATTTATTGGTTGATTACTGTAGACCAGACACTTTACTAAGTGCTTTATATATTGACTGTGTAGCTGATACTCCACATATCAGTTTAAAAATATGTATATTAGGATCTGATTCTGGACTATTCAGTTATATTGATCTGCATTGTGTACTCTTCTAATACTCTATAGTATTGTTTATTATAACTTTATTAACTACATTTAATGTTCATGCTCATTACTTATTGGAATGCTCATTTTGGCCTCTGGAACACCCCTTTTTTGTGCTTGTCTTCCTATTTTGATTCATCTTTACTGATGACCTTCACTGGCTTTTCTGCTTACCTTAACTCCATCTAAAGCCCCTTAGAACTTGCCTCCAACTTGCTTTTCCAGTCACAGTTCCCAATCCTCTTTCTTTGCCCTACATGCTTCAGCCAAAGACACCTTCTCTTTGGTCCTGAAACACATATTTCTTCCATGTCTTTGCATACAACATCCCCTGTTTTGCTGTGAAATCTGGTCAAGTCACACAGCAGATTGTCCCAGCTATGTGCCTCAGAGTACCTGCTGATTTAGGATCTTCAACATCTAGAATGCTCAGACTTTGTAGATAAGGACCATGCAGCAGCTGGGAGGGCTGCTTAGGGATCTTTCACCTCTGGGGTAGAGCACACCGGGTGGGGGAGTTAGAAAGCACAGGAATAGGTAGTGGGGCAAGGTGGAAATAGGGAATTCTGGCTGTTGGGGGCAGTGGATATAGGATCTTCATCTTTTAAAATGTGCAAGACTGTGGGTGATTGTTTTTAATTAGTTTATAGTGAACTTCAAATGAGGCATGCTTAATGCTAGGTCAGAAATGCCACCCTCTGGAATTAAAGCTAATGAGGACCATTAAATGTGATGAGATAAAATGTGAGGGTGAGTTCTCTGCACCAGGGAGCCTCCCTTGGAAATTGTTCTTAAGTGTGTTGCTAATGAGCGATGGTGTTTTCAAGTGTCCCTCAAGGACATTAAGTATCCTTGCATTGAGGGTGGGAAAAGGGGAGTCAAGAGGATGAAAATCAGTTAATGTGTCTCCAGCAGTGCCCAGAAGAGGGTGCTGCTCTGGTTTTAGATGTTTGATTGTACAGTTGCCCCTTGAACAACATGGGTTTGAACTGCACAGCTCTAATTACATATGGATTTTTTTGATAAGTGTAGCATAGTACTGTAAATGTATTTTCTTAATATTTTCTCTAGCTTATTGTAAGAATATGATATTTTATACATATACAAAATAGGTGTTATTTGAATGTTTATGTTATTGGTAAGACTTGTTGTCAAAGGTACAAACTGTTAATAATTAAGTTTTTGGAGGATTCAAAAGTTATATGCAGATTTTCAGCTGTGCATGGAGGGGAGAGGTCAGCATGCCTAACCTGCGTGTTCAAGGGTTAACTGTAGTTGTGTAAAGAGAAATATTACTAGAGTAGAAGACCTTCCTGGTAGTAACACATGTGTTTCAGTGTCAGATCTGGTCTCAAACCTGGCTCTACTAAGGTAAGGAAGTCACTTGACCTTCCTGAGTCTTCTTTTCCTCTTCAATAAAATGAATATAAAACAACTCTAGTGCAAGGTTATGAGACTGAAACTAGCAATACAAAGTATATTAAATAATATATATAAAACACATAATTTTTAATATTCCCAACTTACATCATACTCAATAAAGATGTTAGTTTCGTAGTCTTTCCCTTTTAGGACAAATTGTTAAAATTCAGGTTACCATAGCATGATAGAGCAACATTTTGAGAATAAGACTCTTTGCTCTAAAATTCCTTTACTAACTCTGATATCTCTTAAATGAATGTATCCAGTGGGAGAGAATACCCCATGGTAGACAACTGATTCCTATTCCCAAGCATATATATTTTGTAGTTAGTAAATTAGATCTTAAGACTTATTACTGTGAATATGTCTCTTAGAATTTGGTTACATCTGAGTGTACAGAAAAAAAATTGATTTTCTTCATCTTCCAAAAGTGAGATCCAGACCTGGACAAGGTATTGAGACCCTATATGATTCTGCCTAAAACAATGACCTTACTGCTTTCTACCTTTAGATTTTATAGTCAGGACAAAGAGAAGAGAAACACATGAAAAACTGGCTTAGGTATGCAACTAGAGCATTTATATGAAATTTCTTTGCTTTCTCTTAGTAGAATAATTTTTTTACTTCAGAACTCTTGAAATTTAGAAGAAGCAAAGAGTAAGGTTGCCTGAAAAAGGGGTCAGGGGCTTGGTCATCATCCTTGTAGACTCAGATGGGATACAATCGCGTGGCAGAGTTGATTAGACTCAGGAAAGCTGTTTCTTTGTAACTAAGATCACCAGGGACTGAAATAAGAAAACTGAAATCCCAAGAGAGACTTCTGATTAGAAAGTCAGAAATGCACTGCCAGAATTATTAGGTATCTATGCTAGTGAATGACTAGTGAATGCTTTTTCTTTTTGGGAAAATTATAGGAAGCTAAAATTTTCAAGGCTCCCTGGTGAGTTTCAAGTCAAACCAGATAGTTGATTGTGTGATTCAGATGATGAATATCATTAGGCACTGATGTACTGATACATATATTTCAACGACTGGGCAGGGCTGGGCCAGATAGTCTGTGCACTAGCTTGTCAGAGTACTTTCTCCCTTGAGCAGTCCTTGATGGGCATTCTAACACAAATCTTTGTGTCCTCTTTTTTCTTGTGAAATAATTTGAGGTATATAAATAAGTGTAGGTGATAATATAATAAACATCTTTTTGCTTAATGGGTTGCCTGGGTGACTCAGTAGGTTAAGCAGCCGACTCTTGGTTTCAGCTCAGGTTGTGATCTTAGGGTCCTGGGATCCAGCCCCACATCAGGGCTCCACACTCAGCAGGGAGTCTACTTGTAGATTTTCCCTCTCCCTCTGCCCCTCCCCACGTAGTGTGCTTTCTCTCTCTCTCAAATCAATCAATCAATCTTTTTTTTTTTTTTTGTGGTGCAGATTTTTTTTTTATAAATTAATTTTTATTGGTGTTCAATTTACCAACATACAGAATAACACCCAGTGCTCATCCCGTCAAGTGTCCCCCTCAGTGCCCGTCACCCATTCACCCCCACCCCCCGCCCTCCTCCCCTTCCACCACCCCTAGTTCATTTCCCAGAGTTAGAAGTCTTTATGTTCTGTGTCCCTTTCTGATATTTCCCACACATTTCTTCTCCCTTCCCTTATATTCCCTTTCACTATTATTCATATTCCCCAAATGAATGAGAACATACACTGTTTGTCCTTCTCCAATTGACTTACTTCACTCAGCATAATACCCTCCAGTTCCATCCACGTTGAAGCAAATGGTGGGTTGTCCTGGTCATTTTTAATTCTTTGCTCTTCTATATAAATTTTGGAATTAGTATGTCAAGTTTCAAAAAAAAGCCTCATGAAGACTTTAAGCAAAATCACCTTTATTGAGGTATAGCTTTCATCTGATAAAGTACATATGTAGAATTATTCTTTTTTTTAAAATTTTTATTTATTTATGATAGGCACACAGTGAGAGAGAGAGAGGCAGAGACACAGGCAGAGGGAGAAGCAGGCTCCATGCACCGGGAGCCCGACGTGGGATTCGATCCCAGGTCTCCAGGATCGCGCCCTGGGCCAAAGGCAGGCGCTAAACCGCTGTGCCACCCAGGGATCCCTGTAGAATAATAATTTTTTAAATTTTCATTTATTTATGATAGTCACACACACAGAGAGAGAGGCAGAGACACAGGCAGAGGGAGAAGCAGGCTCCATGCACCGGGAGCCCGACGTGGGATTCGATCCTGGGTCTCCAGGATCGCGCCCTGGGCCAAAGGCAGGCGCCAAACCACTGCGCCACCCAGGGATCCCCCTGTAGAATAATTCTATCACTCTTTTGCTCCTTTGTGTTCCTCTTTCTAGCCAATTCATAAGTTCTACTCCCATTCCTGGTTAACCACTAATTTACTTTCTGTTTTTTTTTCTATAGTAAGTTTCATGTAAATGGAATCGTATTGTATGTACTCTTTTGTGTCTGGCTTCTTTTGATTAGTATAATGTTTTTGAGATTCATCCGTGTCATGTATATCAGTAGTTCATTCTTTTTTTCCTTCCTAAATAGTGTTTCATTGTATAGCTGTACCATTGCTTGTTTGTCTATTCAACGGTTGGTGGACATTTGGGTTGTTTCTAGTTTTGGGCTATTATTATTAAAGCTTCTATGAACATTCATATAAAATCTTTATATGGAGCAGAATTGCTGGGTGATACAGTCAGGTATATTTATTTAATCTTATAAGAAATTGCCACACTATTTTCCAAAGTGACTATGTCATTTTATTTTTCCACTTGTATCCACACTTGTTGTTGCCAGTATTTTTACTTTTGGCCATTCTAATGGATGTGTAGTAGTGTCTCATTATGTTTTTTTAAATTCATTTATTTATTTATTTGTTTTTCTTTTTTTTTCTCATTATGTTTTAACTTGCATTTCCTTAATGCTTAATGACATCATGCATCTTTTCATGTGCTTGTTGGCCATATGTTCATTTTTTTTGTTGTTGAAGTGTTCATCAGATCTTTTGTTCATTCTTAAATTGAATTGTCTTTTTTTAAAGATTTTATTTATTTATTCATGAGAGACACAGAGAGAGAGAAACAGAGCCATAGGCAGAGGGAGAAGCAGGCTCCCCACAAGCAGCCTGATGTGGGACTCGATCCTGAACTGGGATCACACTCTGAGCCAAAGGCAGATGCCTGACTGCTGAGCCACCCAGGTGGCGTCCCTTGAGTTGTTTGTCTTATCCTTAAATTTTAAAATTCTTTACATATTCTGGGTTATTTGTGAAGGGCAGGACCTTGGAAAAGAGCTTTTTGAGTTAGTTTCTAGTCTGACCATCTATGTGTGAGAAGTGAAATCAAGGAGAGATGAGACAGACCTCAGTATTTTATTATTAATATTTATTATCAGTTTTAATGCAATCCAGTTATTTGAATCCAAAGACTTCAAACAAATATATTATTGTCAAACCAAGGAACTATATAGCAGTGGCAGATAGTCTTGCTTTCCATCTGGGCATAAATGATATTTTCCTGTTTGGAAAGACCAGTGAACTACAACAGTAGGCTGGAGACATTGTATTTTCATGCTATTGCTCTTCCTTTTTAAACCTGGGGCAAATTCTTAGGAGTAGAGGGCAAGAACATTCTTGCTGAAACCAAGTTAGAGTGTACATTTGGATCCTTTAATCTCAAAAGGGTCCATCCCTGATCTTTAAGAAAGAATGCTTTCAATTACTGGCAAGGGAGAAGCTCCAGGTGCTACTTTTTAAATGCAATTTGTTAATTTACTGATTAAAGATTTACCCAAGAATAAGGTATTGGTGGTTTTGATAAGTAAGGAAACAACTGATGCTGCATTTTTGCTTTTAGAATATTCTCCATTCTTTCACCATCCAATGTGGGAGATACCAAAATTATGGTCCATGTTGCTATAAGAGAGGCTTTGGCTCCAGAACTGGTAATGCATTTCTAATACTTTGTTCTTTAGACTTTAGATGAAAGTTTGGCTTTGGTAATATAAATGAGTAATGAGTTCTCAAAAAGATACCTTGACTAAACCCCATGCTCCTCATATGCTTTGTATGTTTTTTCAAAGTTACTCCCACACATAATTTGTTTAACTCAATATTTCTTAACAAAGTGCCCACATACCCTACATTCTTCTGAGGGAACCTTAATAACAAGGAATAGAGTACATGTTTAGAAGAAGAAATAGATATACCCACTCTTAAAATAAGTTTTATAATGAATTGCTTATCTATAATAGTTTTGTATTTTCTTAAATGGATACTTAAGTTAATTTCATTTCACTTCTATTTATTATTCATCCCTAGAATTGGCACCGCTGCTCTTGGACATATTCATAGAGTGGCATGCTGCTATGGACACTGTGGGAACTTGGGCAAGTACTTTTCCCTCCACTGTTATCCCCTTGTCTCTTATAACAATAGTCATCTTGTTTATTACCCTCCTTGCAAATTAACAATGTATTGGTAGTGTTGGATCTAGACTGTCCATATGAGGGTGTAAACTGCCCAAAGCCACAACTTGAGGAACTTTCTACTTTTCTATAACTGCTTCTTGATTGCCCTTCATTACAGTTTGAATGTATACAACCAGATTCCAATGGACCTTGGCTCCATCCTTGGCTTTGTTTCCTACATGTTCTTGACTGCCCATGAATACTCTCATATCCATCAGGCCCCCTATCTGATAGGCCATAACTCCTACCTCTTTCTTTTTGGCCACACTCTGACCATTCCTGGCTGTTTCTTATTGATTGATTAGGGACTAAGCCCATTTTGGGTCTACTACACTCATTATGAGTTCCACTTGAACTTGACCTACATCTCCCTTGTATTTCATGTTGCTCATAGTTAGAACACAGGCCAGATCCAGAACCACATTGTCCAGAGCTAGATGAGTGGCATGAACCAGATCTGTACTGTTCAGAGCCAGAATATTGACCAGATCCAGAACCATGTTGTCCAGAGGTAGATGATTGACATGAACCATACCCATATTGTTCAGAGCTAGAACACTGACCAAATCTAGAGCCACACTGCTCAGAGCTAGCTGAGTGACACGGGCCAGACCCATATTGTTCAGAACTAGAACACTGACCTGAGCTAGATACATGTCGGCTATGGCTAGAAGATCTACTTGATCCAGACTCATGTTGACCATAGCTAGAAGACTGACCTAATCCAGACCCATGTTGCCCAGAACCTGAAGACTGACCTGAGCCAGACTCATGATAACCATATCTAGAGGACTGACCTGAGCCAGATCTGTTTTGGCCATAGCTAGGAGACTGGCCTGATCCAGATCCATGTTGACCACAGCTTGATGTCTGTCTTGAAGCAGAACCATATTGTCCATAGCTAGAGGATTGATTTGAGCCAGACCCATACTGACCATGGCCAGAAGAATGTCCTGATCCAGACCTATGCTGACCATAGCTGGAAGATTGACCTGATCCAGACCCATGATGCCCAAAGCCAGAAGACTGACCTGACCTAGACCCTTGTTGGCCATAACTAGAGGGCTGACTGGATCCAGATTCATGTTGCCCAAAACCAGAAGATTGACCTGAGCCAAAGCCATGTTGGCCATAACTAGAAGACTGACTGGATCTAGACCCATGTTGTCCAAAGCCAGAAGACTGGCCTGATCCAGACCCATGTTGTCCAAAGCCAGAAGACTGACCAGATCCAGACCCATGTTGGCCATAACTAGAAGACTGACTGGTTCCAGACCCATGTTGTCCAAAGCCAGAAGACTGGCCTGATCCAGACCCATGTTGTCCAAAGCCAGAAGACTGACCAGATCCAGACCCATGTTGGCCATAACTAGAAGACTGACTGGTTCCAGACCCATGTTGCCCAAAGCCAGAAGACTGGCCTGATCCAAACCTATGTTGACCAGAGCCAGAAGACTGACCAGATCCAGTTCCATGTTGCCCAAAGCTAGAGGACTGGCCTGAACTAGATGCATGTTGAGCACTGTTTGATGACTGTCCAAAAGCAGAACCATGTTGTCCATAGCTAGAGGATTGACCTGAGCTAGACTCATGTTGCCCAAAGCCAGAAGACTGACCTGATCTAGACCCATGTTGGCCATAACTAGAAGACTGACTGGTTCCAGACCCATGTTGCCCAAAACCAGAAGATTGGCCTGATCCAAACTTGTGTTGACCAAAGCCAGAAGACTGACCAGATCCAGACTCATGGTAACCATATCTAGAGGATTGACCATATCCAGATTCGTTCTGTCCAGAGCTTGATGATTGACCTAAGGCAGATCTCTGCTCAGTGCCAGAAGACTCTCCTGAGCTAGACTCGTGTTGCCCAAAGCCAGAAGACTGACTTGATCCAGACCCATGGTGACCATATCTAGAGGACTGACCTGAGCCAGATCTATATTGTCCATAGCCAGAAGACTGGCCTGATCCAGACCCATGATGACTGTATCTAGAAGACTGACCTGAGCCAAATCTGTTTTGGCCATAGCTAGGAGACTGGCCTGATCCAGATCCATGTTGACCACAGCTTGATGTCTGTCTTGAAGCAGAACCATATTGTCCATAGCTAGAGGATTGATTTGAGCCAGACCCATACTGACCATGGCCAGAAGAATGTCCTGATCCAGACCTATGCTGACCATAGCTGGAAGATTGACCTGATCCAGACCCATGATGCCCAAAGCCAGAAGACTGACCTGACCTAGACCCTTGTTGGCCATAACTAGAGGGCTGACTGGATCCAGATTCATGTTGCCCAAAACCAGAAGATTGACCTGAGCCAAAGCCATGTTGGCCATAACTAGAAGACTGACTGGATCTAGACCCATGTTGTCCAAAGCCAGAAGACTGGCCTGATCCAGACCCATGTTGTCCAAAGCCAGAAGACTGACCAGATCCAGACCCATGTTGGCCATAACTAGAAGACTGACTGGTTCCAGACCCATGTTGTCCAAAGCCAGAAGACTGGCCTGATCCAGACCCATGTTGTCCAAAGCCAGAAGACTGACCAGATCCAGACCCATGTTGGCCATAACTAGAAGACTGACTGGTTCCAGACCCATGTTGCCCAAAGCCAGAAGACTGGCCTGATCCAAACCTATGTTGACCAGAGCCAGAAGACTGACCAGATCCAGTTCCATGTTGCCCAAAGCTAGAGGACTGGCCTGAACTAGATGCATGTTGAGCACTGTTTGATGACTGTCCAAAAGCAGAACCATGTTGTCCATAGCTAGAGGATTGACCTGAGCTAGACTCATGTTGCCCAAAGCCAGAAGACTGACCTGATCTAGACCCATGTTGGCCATAACTAGAAGACTGACTGGTTCCAGACCCATGTTGCCCAAAACCAGAAGATTGGCCTGATCCAAACTTGTGTTGACCAAAGCCAGAAGACTGACCAGATCCAGACTCATGGTAACCATATCTAGAGGATTGACCATATCCAGATTCGTTCTGTCCAGAGCTTGATGATTGACCTAAGGCAGATCTCTGCTCAGTGCCAGAAGACTCTCCTGAGCTAGACTCGTGTTGCCCAAAGCCAGAAGACTGACTTGATCCAGACCCATGGTGACCATATCTAGAGGACTGACCTGAGCCAGATCTATATTGTCCATAGCCAGAAGACTGGCCTGATCCAGACCCATGATGACTGTATCTAGAAGACTGACCTGAGCCAAATCTGTTTTGGCCATAGCTAGGAGACTGGCCTGATCCAGATCCATGTTGACCACAGCTTGATGTCTGTCTTGAAGCAGAACCATATTGTCCATAGCTAGAGGATTGATTTGAGCCAGACCCATACTGACCATGGCCAGAAGAATGTCCTGATCCAGACCTATGCTGACCATAGCTGGAAGATTGACCTGATCCAGACCCATGATGCCCAAAGCCAGAAGACTGACCTGACCTAGACCCTTGTTGGCCATAACTAGAGGGCTGACTGGATCCAGATTCATGTTGCCCAAAACCAGAAGATTGACCTGAGCCAAAGCCATGTTGGCCATAACTAGAAGACTGACTGGATCTAGACCCATGTTGTCCAAAGCCAGAAGACTGGCCTGATCCAGACCCATGTTGTCCAAAGCCAGAAGACTGACCAGATCCAGACCCATGTTGGCCATAACTAGAAGACTGACTGGTTCCAGACCCATGTTGTCCAAAGCCAGAAGACTGGCTTGATCCAGACCCATGTTGTCCAAAGCCAGAAGACTGACCAGATCCAGACCCATGTTGGCCATAACTAGAAGACTGACTGGTTCCAGACCCATGTTGCCCAAAGCCAGAAGACTGGCCTGATCCAAACCTATGTTGACCAGAGCCAGAAGACTGACCAGATCCAGTTCCATGTTGCCCAAAGCTAGAGGACTGGCCTGAACTAGATGCATGTTGAGCACTGTTTGATGACTGTCCAAAAGCAGAACCATGTTGTCCATAGCTAGAGGATTGACCTGAGCTAGACTCATGTTGCCCAAAGCCAGAAGACTGACCTGATCTAGACCCATGTTGGCCATAACTAGAAGACTGACTGGTTCCAGACCCATGTTGCCCAAAACCAGAAGATTGGCCTGATCCAAACTTGTGTTGACCAAAGCCAGAAGACTGACCAGATCCAGACTCATGGTAACCATATCTAGAGGATTGACCTGATCCAGATCCTTGTTGACCACAGCTTGATGTCTGTCCAGAAGCATAGCCATGTTGTCCATAGCTAGAGGATAGACCATATCCAGATTCGTTCTGTCCAGAGCTTGATGATTGACCTAAGGCAGATCTCTGCTCAGTGCCAGAAGACTCTCCTGAGCTAGACTCGTGTTGCCCAAAGCCAGAAGACTGACTTGATCCAGACCCATGGTGACCATATCTAGAGGACTGACCTGAGCCAGATCTATATTGTCCATAGCCAGAAGACTGGCCTGATCCGGACCCATGATGACCATATCTAGAGGCCTGACCTGAGCTAGATCTGTGTTGTCCATATCCAGAAAACTGGCCTGATCCAGACCTATGTTGGCTATGGCTAGAAGACTGAGCTGATCCTGACTCATGTTGCCCAAAACCAGAAGACTGGCATGCTCCAGATCCATGTTGTCTGTGGCCAGAAGATTGACTTGAGCCAGACCTATGTTGTCCATAGCTAGAAGACTCTCTTGAGCCAGACCCATGTAGGCTGTGGCCAGAAGATTGACTTGAGCCAGACCTATGTCGTGCACAATTAGAAGACTCTTGTGAGCTAGACCCATGTCGGCTGTGCCTAGAAGACTGACTTAAGCCAGATCCATAGTGTCCCCAACTTGATGACTGTCTTGAAGTAGAACTATTTGGTCCGTAACTAGAAGATTGACCTAAGCCAGACCCATGTTGTCCAAAGCCAGAAGACTGACATGATCCAGATCCATGTTGTCCACAGCTTGATGATTCACCTAAACTGGATCCTGAACTAGACTCATGGTATTTCTGACTAGAAGACTGATTAGAACCAGGTCCAAATTTTCCATAATTAGAGGACTGCCCTGACCCAGAGCCATGATTTTGTCTTCCACAATTCCCTGAATGACCATCTGAGTTGGATTCATGATATTTTTGCCTAGAAGAATTATTGGAGCTAGAATCATATTGTTTATAGCTAGAAAGATCTCCAGATCCAGACTCTTCATGGCTACAGTTAGAAGACTGTCTTGAGCCAGACCCATGGTGACCAGAGGCAGAGGACTGATCTGAGCCAGATCTATGCTTTTGTCTTCCATAACCTTCTGACTGATGACCAGTCCTCTGGGTAGAGGACTCATAGGAACTTGATTGATTTTTACCTTTGCTTATGGACTGGCCTGATTCAGACCCATATCCCTCATAGCTTGAAGACTCTTTTGATTCAGAATCATATTTTTGTTGTCTACTAAGTCCTGATTGACCACTTGAATTGGATCTATATTGCCTCTGACCAGAAGATTGACTCCCAGACCTCTCTTGCTGATGAGAGCCATGCTTGTTTGTCTTACAATCTTTTAAGTGGCCTGAACTTGTCTCTGTCCTTCTTTCCCCAGAACTTTGCCTGTGTTCTGAACTAGACAAGCCTCCTTGATGCTCCATTCTTCTGTAGCTGGACCTAGGCCTGTATTTAATGCTTCTCCTGGAGCCCCTGGAATAGGAATTATTCTCTCCTGTACTTGACCTTGAATGAAATTGTCTTTTGTCCTCCTCTTCTGTTTCACTTTGTTCCTCTTGGTGCTGGTGCTGATGGTCTCTCTGCTTTGACCCTGAAGCATGGCAATAATCTTTGCCGATGATCTTATTGCAAGCCTGAGCCAGTTTGAATATCATCAGAAGATACTCAGTGAAATTCACTTTCTTGTCATGATCTTGATCCAGATTTTGCATGATGATATCTACAGTGTCTGGATCATCTGGATTCTGTAGAGGAACAAGGTACAAGTGGCAACTATGTCACTGTAGACTACATACCCAGCCAACCATTTGAAAGAAGACTGTAGAAATGTGAATGTTTGGCTTACTTAGGTGGAGCTCAACCACCTAGTTCTTTAGACAGGACTTAGTAGTGTAGTAGTTGTGTAGTAGTTCTTTAGACAAGAAAGAAAGGAATATGTAATGAACAATATAGTGAGGAATTGCTAGAAGATGCAACTGGAAGATGTTAGGGAATAAGGAAATTGATTATATTTTGCATGAAATGGTCAAATATGAATGATTAGCTAATTTATAAATAGGAATTTTAAAAAACGAAAAAAGTGTAGGTCAAATATGAATGATTAACATAATTGTATATGACCTTTATTTGCCCAGCTAATAATTCATTAATCCATTTAGCAAAGATTTATTGTGCACCTACTATCTGCTTAACATTGAGTTAGGTGCAGGGGATAAAGCAGTGGACACGTTTGTTTTCTGACAAAATCTGACAAAATGGAAGTTAAAGTCTCATGGCCCAGACACACAAACTTAAAATTACAGTGTATTGTGATAATGTTTCTGAAAACAAGAGAACCAGTAGGGGGTCAAGGAAGGTTAATGAGAGGAAGTGATGTTTTTTGAAGTATGGTTTGGACTTAGCCAAATTAAGGGGTAGGAAAGGAGGGAGGGCAGCCTGGGTGGTTCAGTGGTTTAGCACTGCCTTCAGCCCAGTGCCTGATCCTGGAGAACGGGGATCGAGTCCCATGTCAGGCTCCCTGCATGGAGCCTGCTTCTCCCTCTGCCTGTGTCTCTGTCTCTCTCTCTCTTGTGTGTCTCTCATGAATAAATAAATAAAATCTTTAAAAGAAAAGAAAAAGGAAAGGAGGGAAAGGGGCAAAATATTGTTCCAAGCAGAGGGAATAATTTGAATAAAGCTGAAGGTCAGAGGATGCATGGCTTATATGAGGAACTGAAAGAAATTCAGGATTGTTAAATTTTGAGGCTCCATAATCAAGAGATATTGCTAGAGAAACAGATCAGATTATGCCTTCTAAGTTGTGTGAAGAACTTTGAACTTTATTTTTTTAAAGATTTTTAAAAATTTATTCATTCATTAGAGAGAGAGAGAGAGAGAGAGAGAGAGAGAGAGAGAGGCAGAGACACAAGCAGAGGGAGAAGCAGGCTCCATGCCGGGACCCCGATGCGGGACTCGATCCCAGGTCTCCAGGATCAGGCCCTGGGCTGAAGGCAGCACTAAAAAACGCTGAGCCACCCAGGCTGCCCCTGAACTTTATTTTTAAAAGCTGTGAGCATTTGGGGCACCTGTGTGGTTCAGTTGGTTAAGCATCTGATTCTTGGTTTCAGTTCAGGTCATGATCTCAGGGTTGTGAGACGGAGCCCAGCATTGGGATCTGTACCAGACATTTGAAGGATTTTGAATTAAGTTGTGATATGATTAGATTTGCACTTGCAGCTGAGATTAGAAGTAGAAAAAGGTCGTCTGAGCCAGAGGACTAGCCATAGTGATGGAAAGAAATGGCTGTTTTGAGACTATTGATGAATTAGATGGAGGGTAGAGGGTGGAGTTACTTGCTGAGATAAGTGGAACCAGATTTCTGCCTTGGGCAAATAGAGGATAGAGTTTAGAAGGAAAATGGTTTCATATCTGACACATTGAATTACACCCTTAGGAATCCAAATAAGAAATATTTAGTAAGAAGCTGGATATAATGAATTGATGATCCAAGAGCTAGATCTAAGTTCCCAAATATTTATTTTTGGAGCTGACATTTTAGGATGGTGGTCACCGTGTTTTATAATTTAGGAGTAACAGGCTAAGTTCCTGAACTCAGAGGCCTTGTGATATCACAATCTCAGAAATGAGCAGTGGTCAGGACATTCTGGACTAAAGAATGACCAAAAAAGGGAAAAAGATACATTTTACCTATCTTTTTTCTGAGAACCATCTTAGTTTTTTATTCCTTAAGAATTACTTACTTACATAGATAGAATATTATATAATTTATGCATTTTGTCTGTTCAGTAGGATCACTTCCCTTGGTCATATTTTGGAAACCATGTGGGTCAACTTTAGATCATATTTCAAGCCTTTACCAAAACCTATTCTCTATCACCAAGTAGAGAGAGTCCTGTCGGAGTTTGACAGATGTGACAAAAAGGCAGGAAGGAGTGAAGAAGAGAATTGCAGCTGTCTTCCATCCTGACCTGGAGTTCTTACCTTCAGAATTTGATGAAATTCATTTTCTAAAAGCTCTTTCAGTTCTTCCTTGTTCAACATGTCACACTCCCCATCCTGGGTGGCATATTGGTAGAAAACATCAATGACAGTGACGATACTTTGTAGGAGTTTAGACATTTTTTTTTTGTAAATTTAACCTAAAGGAAAAAAAAAGGAGACCCACCTCTTATTATTCCTTTTTCTTGCTTAAATATATAAATAGTTCCAATCATTTGTGATATTAGTTCAGAATTAATGAAGCATAATTAATTTCATATTTTTGAAATCAAGAACCAATCCAGAGTTGAAAGTCTTGTTCAAGCCATGTAGCAAGAGAGTGATGAAATTAGGAACAGAATCAATATCTCTTATTTTCATTCCTGAATGAATGTAGGAGCAATGACTTTCTGTTTTGAGCTCCGTGCCTCACCAGGGGTAATTTTATGAGCATTGTCCTGGAGCTAGAGAAATCCTGGGTGTGCCAATCCACCCACTTCCTCAATTCTTCTCTAGGTGCCAACCATCACTGAGGAGGGACAGGTCCATCATGCACATGGTATGCCTGACTCTAACCAAGGGATGCTAGTGGTGAAGCTAGACCCTTAAAATTTGTAGGCCAGAGAAAGTACACAAAATGGGCAATTACAGGCCTAGGTGTTATGGAGCTGGAGGCAGCTGCTATCAGGCCTGCTTCTGTTTTTTTTTTTTTTTTTCATTCTCCAAACAGGGACTAACTCTCAGGCTTTACTGATTACATAACAGAGAAAAAACTCAGTAGTCCAGCAACCTACCTAATGATAATTAGAGCCCTGTGATCTTTGAGGAAATGATCCTGAAGAAAGATGGTACTATCATTCCAAGTCATCTCTGTATTTTCCTTCTCAATAAAGTTAAAATTATATCAAAGTCCCCAAGGTACATTAAAAAGAAACTTGTACCCAGTGCCTCTTTGCCTTAGAGCACATGCTGGATCCTCATGATTTATAGTCCAAAGTACTCCTGTTCACTTACCTAGTACACCAGAGGAACAAGTAGGATGGAGATTGGAGGAGCTTACAGGGTGCTGCTAGCTGGGGGTAGTGGCCTTTTTATAGAGGAGATAATGGTCCTTCTTAGGGAGGAGCTGCTGAGATGTCCTGATTCACTCTTAAATAAGCCCAGCTCCACCTCCACCTCCACCTCCACCTCCCAGGTGTTTGCCTTCTTATTTCCCTACATGTTCACCTGAGATTGCATTAGCAATTCCCAAATCTGGGCTAGTATCAGCCCCACCTACCAGAGTCTCCGGACACTGCAGAAAGACCTCTTTGGATATTCAACAAAGAATCTAGCATAATGCATTGATAACCAATTATATGGACTTTAATTAAGTTGAATGGAATGTGTGCAGGGACATCAGGGACCAAATGTCCAAGAATTAATCTAGTGTTTAAAAGGAACCATAGGATCATCCAGTCAAAGTCTCTCATGTTGAGCTACATTTTCTTACATGGATTTCCAGCCAAAGTATCATCCATGATATTATTATCCATATTATTACCATTCCTCTTGAATTGCTAATGACTGTAGAGGCCTTCTTGTCTTTTTTACCTAACCTTATTTACCAGACCTTAGTGGCCATTCATCAATGTAGCTTTCATTTTAAATGCTATATAACCTTAGGAAGAAATCCATGCTCTTTAGCATGGCATCCTAGGTTATTCATGTGGTTTCCCGCTAGGCCCATCTCCTCTCTCCCTATTCTTTTTACTTCACCAGTAATTAATTACTTAAGCTTTCCTGACTATACCATTCTATTTCATATTTTTTCTTGGCATCTCTTTCCTCATCTGCCTAGTGAACTGCTATTCATTTTTAAAAACCTACTTTAGACATCCTCTAGGAAATATTTCCTAAATTACTCAAGAGAGTTATAATTGTATACTTTATTCATAGTTTTATTATAATATCTGTCATATTATATTATAAAATCCTTTGCAATTATTTTACTTGTAATGTTTAATATAAATAATTAGAAAATACAGATGAGCAAAGCAAATGAAATACCTGTAACCTTCTTATTCAGAAATAGCTACTGTTAGTTATTTGGTGTCTATCCTTTCTTGTGCATACATGTATGTGTGAATACACAGACACATACTATATATATGTGTCTATACGTGTATATCACTTCTATACTGTGAGCTCCTTGAGAATAGGGAATGGGAATTATTATTACCATTGTTACTGGAGGACTCAGAGTATTGCTTGGCACATAAAAGTTCCCAGTAAATGTTTGTTGAATTGAATTGAAAGAAGAGTTAGTGTCATGCCTATAGACCTTCTGTCTTGCCATCTTCACCTCAGAGGACATGGTTTCACCTGAATATAAACTGAATCTTAACATTGGGAATTAACAAATGGCTTTATGCTTATCCCTGTGACCTTGCTCTGCATTTCATCATTATGAATTATATGTATAACACGAATGCCACTGAAGCTGAGTGAAGTCACATAGACTTGAAGCTTAAGCTTGTGCAATAACAGTCATCAGGATTTAGGAAGGAGTGGTAGCAACTATTGGTAAATGATAAATTATGTGATTTCAAATTCAAACATTATGACGCTCTGTGTTTTCCTCTAAGAACTACTTAGAGGGCTGGAGAGTCAGAATCCATTCTGTGGCTGTGATCCTCTGGATGCCTTATTTGGGCCAGGTTGTCACACTTCCATCAGAGGAGTGAGCTTTTTGAAGGTGTGACTAAGACTGTGGGAGTGCAGGGGAGGTAGAGTTTGCTGAGTGAAGACTAATTTCCTGCAGGAGACAGCTGTTGCCACAGAGGGAGGAGGGGGTTGCTGGTGAAGACTATTTCAGGTGAAATATGCCCTTGGAGCCAGTGTTCTCCTAAATGAGGGGTTGGCAAAATTTCCTTAAAAGGGCCAGTTAGTGTATATTTTGGGCTTTGAGGGACAGTCTTTTTTTTTCCTTCAGTTTCTCAGCTGTGCTCTTTTAGCATGAAAGCATCCAGAGATGATGTGTAAACAAATGAACATACCTGTGTTTCAGTAAAACTAATTTATTGACAGTGGCTTGTTGACAAGTTAAATTTCTCTTAATAAAAAAACCTTCTTTTAAAAATATTTTATTTAAATTCAATTTGCCAACATATAGTATAACACCCTTAATTTCACATGTCATAATGGATGAATGTGAATCCTGACCCTCTTCTGCATTTGCTTGCCAGGAAGATTCCCCAGGAGATGAGAGTCTCTGAGGAAAGAAAAGGGATACGAAGTGTAGGGCAGCAGAACCACAAATCCCTGTGGGAGAGACAAGTGTGAAGGTCTGTTTGTGAGTGTCGGTGTGCATGAGGTGGTAGGGAAAGGGAACAGAACAAGGGACCTTTGGGCACTAGTAAAAGGGAGGTGAATTTTGACTTTTTGTAAGGAAGAAATTTTATCTTCCGCATTGACTGAAAAATCATTGACCTCTTTGCAAGTAATTGAATTTATTGTGAGGGACATTAAAGAAATTTCCATATATCATAGACAGAGTTTAACCCTTTCAGGGCTTAATTTTCTTTCTTTTTTAATTTATTTTTTAATAATACATTTATTTATTATTGGTGCTCAATTTGCAAACATACAGAATAACACCCAGTGCTCATCCTGTTAAGTGCCCACCTCAGTGCCCATCACTCATGCACCCCCACCCCCCACCCTCCTCCCCTTCCACCACTCCTAGTTCATTTCCCAGAGTTAGGAGTCTTTTTTTTTTTTTTTTTTGAGTTAGGAGTCTTTATGTTCTGTCTCCCTTTCTGATATTACCTACCCATTTCTTCTCCCTTCCCTTATATTCCCTTTCACTATTATTTATATTCCCCAAATGAATAAGACCATACAATGTTTGTCCTTCTCCGATTGACTCATTTCACTCAGCATAATACCCTCCAGTTCCATCCACATTGAATCAAATGGTGGGTATTTGTCATTTCTAATGGCTGAGTAATATTCCATTGTATACATAAACCACATCTTCTTTATCCATTCATCTTTCAATGGACACCGAGGCTCCTTCCACAGTTTGGCTATTGTGGACATTGCTGCTAGAAACATCGGGGTGCAGGTGTCCCAGCGTTTCATTGCATCTGTATCTTTGGGGTAAATCCCCAGCAGTGCAATTGCTGGGTCTTAGAGCAGATCCATTTTTAACTCTTTGAGGAACCTCCACACAGTTTTCCAGAGTGGCTGCACCAGTTCACATTTCCACCAACAGTGTAAGAGGGTTCCCTTTTCTCCGCATCCTCTCCAAAATTTGTGGTTTCCTGCCTTGTTAATTTCCCCCATTCTCATTGGTGTGAGGTGGTATCTCATTGTGGTTTTGATTTGTATTTCCCTGATGGCAAGTGATGCAGAGCATTTTCCCATGTGCGTGTTGCCCATGTCTCTGTCTTCCTCTGTGAGATTTCTGTTCATGTCTTTTGCCCATTTCATGATTGGATTGTTTGTTTCTTTGCTGTTGAGTTTAATAAGTTCTTTAGAGATCTTGGATACTAGTCCTTTTTCTGATATGTCATTTGCAAATATCTTCTCCCATTCTGTAGGTTGTCTTTGAGTTTTGTTGACTGTATCCTTTGCTGTGCAAAAGCTTCTTATCTTGATGAAGTCCCAATAGTTCATTTTTGCTTTTGTTTCTTTTGCCTTTGTGGACGTATCTTGCAAGAAGTTACTGTGGCCAAGTTCAAAAAGGGTGTTGCCTGTGTTCTCCTCTAGGATTTTGGTGGAATCTTGTCTCACATTTAGATCTTTCATCCATTTTGAGTTTATCTTTGTATATGGTGAAAGTGAGTGGTCTAGTTTCATTCTTCTGCATGTGGATGTCCAATTTTCCCAGCACCATTTATTGAAGAGACTGTCTTTTTTCCAGTGGATAGTCTTTCCTCCTTTATCGAATATTAGTTGACCATAAAGTTTAGGGTCCCCTTCTGGAATCTCTATTCTGTTCCATTGATCGATGTGTCTGTTTTTGTGCTAGTACCACACTGTCTTGATGACCACAGCTTTGTAGTACAACCTGAAATCTGGCATTGTGATGCCCCCAGCTATGGTTTTCTTTTTTAAAATTCCCCTGGCTATTCGGGGTCTTTTCTGATTCCACACAAATCTTAAAATAATTTGTTCTAAGTCTCTGAAGAAAGTCCATGGTATTTTGATAGGGATTGCATTGAACGTGTAAATTGCCCTGGGTAGCATTGACATTTTCACAATATTAATTCTGCCAATCCATGAGCATGGAATATTTTTCCATCTCTTTGTGTCTTCCTCAATTTCTTTCAGAAGTGTTCTATAGTTTTTAGGGTATAGATCCTTTACCTCTTTGGTTAGGTTTATAGTGTTCTATAGTTTTTAGGGTATAGATCCTTTACCTCTTTGGTTAGGTTTATTCCTAGGTATCTTATGCTTTTGGGTGCAATTGTAAATGGGATTGACTCTTTAATTTCTCTTTCTTCAGTCTCCTTGTTAGTGTATAGGAATGCCATTGATTTCTGGGCATTGATTTTGTATCCTGCCACGCTACCAAATTGCTGTATGAGTTCTAGCAATCTTGGGGTGGAGGCTTTTGGGTTTTCTATGTAGAGTATCATGTCATCGGCGAAGAGGGAGAGTTTGACTTCTTCTTTGCCAATTTGAATGCCTTTAATGTCTTTTTGTTGTCTGATTGCTGAGGCTAGGACTTCCAGTACTATGTTGAATAGCAGTGGTGAGAGTGGACATCCCTGTCTTGTTCCTGATCTTAGGGGGAAGGTTTCCCCATTGAGTATGATATTTGCTGTGGGCTTTTCGTAGATGGCTTTTAAGATGCTGAGGAATGTTCCCTCTATCCCTACACTCTGAATGAAGAGTTTCGATCAGGAATAGATGCTGTATTTTGTCAAATGGTTTCTCTGCATCTATTGGGAGGATCATATGGTTCTTGGTTTTTCTCTTGCTGATATGATGAATCCACATTGATTGTTTTACGAGTGTTGAACCAGCCTTGTGTCACGGGAATAAATCCTATTTGGTCATGGTGAATAATTTTCTTAATGTGCTGTTGGATCCTATTGGCTAGTATCTTGTT